TGTGGCTCAAAGTGATAGAGTGCTAGCCTTAAGCAAAAAAGCTCAGGGACAATGCCTAGACCCTGGGTTCAAGCCTCATGACCCACCAACTGAGAAAAAAAGGAGGAGGGAACTTGTTTCCATTTCCTGGAATTCATTTGCAATAAATACCATTTTATGTGATCAGATTGTACCTGTTTAATATATATAAAGGACTGAACTCAGAAACTTGTACATGCCAGGCATGAGCTAAATCCCCAACCCAATATTGCTCCATTTGTTCCTCCCCTAAGAGTATCCTCCTTTGGTCTCACTGTGTGTGAATGCCTAAAGTCCTGTATAATTTCTCATGTGCTGGTGTATTTCAGCTCTAGCTTCCGCATATGAGAGAAAACATGCACTGTTTGTCTCTCTGAGCTTAGCTTAGACATCTGTTTCTCTGAGCTTGGCTTACCTCAACATGATTTATTCTAGGTCCATCCTACTCATCTCAAATAAATGAAAACATTAAAGTTATGAGCTTTATACTAAATAAACATTTTAGATGAAATAAATTAAAAACTTTCCCACAAAGAAAAGCCTAGACCTAGATGTATTCATTGGTGAGTTCAATAAAATATTTCAAAAATACACCAGGCCTGGTGCTTACGACTGTAATCCCAGCACCAAGGAAGTTGGAGGAGAGGATGAAGGTTTTGAAGCCAGCTGGGGCCATATACCAAATTTATGTAGCTCGGGCTATATAACAAATTTATGCATGTTTTGAACCTAGGCTATCTAGCAAATTTATGAAGGTTTTGAGGCCAACCCACTCCACATACCAAATTTATGTAGCCTGGGCTACATACCAAATTTATGAAGATTTTAAGCGTAAGCTACATACCAAAGTTATGAAGGTTTGGAGGCCAGCCTGGGCCAATACACCAAATTTATGTAGCCTGGGCTATGTAATTTTCTGAGACCGTGTCTCAGAAAAACAAAAGACAATGAAAGAAACTTAAATCAAAATGGCATTAGAAAAAGATAAACTTGAAAACTATGACAAATATAAAAGATAAGATCTGTGGGGCTGGGAAGGTGGCTCAGTGGTAGAGTGCTTGCCCTGCATGCATGAGGCCCTGGGTTCGATTCCTCAGCACCACATAAGCAAGAAGAAAAAAGCCGGAAGTGGCGCTGTGGCTCAAGTGGTAGAGCGCTAGCCTTGAGCTGAAGAGCTGAGGGACAGCACCCAGGCCCAGAGTTCAGGCCCCACGATCGGACCAAAAACCAAAAAACCAAAAAAAAAAAAAAAGATCTGTGAGGGCCCAAGCCTGATTTGTCACTTCTGAGTATTCTAGTGGTCTTTCAGTGGTCTCAGTAAACACTTGTTGAACAAATAATAAGAAATGATCTGGAAGCCGGGCACCGGTGGCTCATGCCTGTAATCCTAGCTACTCACCAGGCTGAGATCTGAGGATCATGGTTCAAAGCCAGACCAGCAGCAAAGTCCACGAGACTCTTATCTCCAATAAACCACTCAGAAAACAGAAAGTGGCACAGTGGCCCAAGTGGTACAGTGCTATCCTTGCAAGGCATGCACTCTTGCAAGGCATGCACTCTACCACTGAGCTACCTTCCCAGCCCCTATAGTGCTATCCTTGAGCTGAAGAGCTGAGGGACAGTGCGCAAGCCCCATGACAAAAAAAAAAGAAGAAGAAAGAAAAAAAAAGAAAGAAAGAAATGATCTGGATATTGGAAACCTACAACCCTCCAGTGTTAGAAAATGAATACATACACAGAAGATACGGATTTCCTCAAGGCATTTAACTTCTGTACAGAAGGGTGGTTGGTCTGCCACTGTCCTCAGAGCTCAGCAAGCACACTCACTGGGGCAGAGTGGTCTACTTGATTTTTATACTAACCCAAGAGGTGGTTTTGTCCCTTCTCCTTGTTGTTAGTCAGGCTCACATTTTTTTTCTAACAATTGGATACCAGGTGATGGGGGCAGAAAGCACTCTAACCGTCAATGAAAGGTCCCTATTTGGGGAGGAGGGGCTGTCTTTTTAAAGGCAAAAGCACACATTCTTCTCAGGATGGCTAGCTGGGAATGGGACCCAGAATAGGGCTATTGAAGGTTATAGTTGGATGAAAGTCAATGGAAAGTTCCCACTCAAGGTGTGTTTATGTGTGGGGGTGGGGGTGGGGGAGTGGTCTATTCTTTAACTCTATTGGTAAGGATTTACACCCTTGACATGGCTGGATGGTTACAAACAACACAGATGATAGTTACAATTGAAGTCAGGAAGCTAATAATTCCAGGAAGTATCTGTACAGGACAGTGACTGATTTCAAGATGGAGACATTTTAGTTTAACAGAAAAGATTGCTTTTTCCCACATTGGTGACTTGGTAGGGTATTATTGCTTCAAAGGGAGTTCTTCTGAACCTGGGCAAGATGCCTTGTTTTCCCAGAGATAAAATAGTATCTAGACTTTAGGGTAGTTTTGACTATTCGATGAGGTTAACATATAAAATGCTTGATATATATGTGAAATATAGTGAAGCATTGACCCTTTAATATAACTTGACACTTTAATAAAGCTAGTTCGGGGAAAAGACTAATCCATAGCACTGAGAGTGTTACAAATCAACTGCTAGGGAGGAAAAAACCTAAGAACTGACTCCCTTCCCCCAGCTCTCCTACTTCTCAATACTGGCCTCACCGAGTAGTACTTCCACCATAGCAATTTCTTTCCTGCTCAAAGCCCTTCCCACTGCTCTTCTCTCTGTTTGAAGGGCACTGAGTGTAGACACTACAAATATTGGTTTAATGACTCAGTAAGTGAATTTGGATCTCCTTTAAAAGAAGTAAATATTAAACCTTCAGATCATAAGACACAGTCAAGGGAGAGTGTGAAGAAAGAAGAGGTGTAAGTATAGGAAAGGAGTCAGCAAAGTTACAAATTATTAAGAGTAACTAGCTGGAGGAAAGTTTTCAGATGGGTTAACAAGCTAAAAGCTAAGAGGCAACAAGGAGTGTGGACTGAGAAGGACTAGACTTGGCAATCCAGCTAAAATTAATGTAAAAAAAAAGCTGAGAAAGCATAACATTCCATGAGTGGAGTTGGGGAGGGCAGTCACATAAAAGAAGTCCAAGGCGGGCTTAGTGAACGAGTTCCTGTAATCCTAGTTCTAGGCAGTTGCAAGTCATCCTAAACTACGTAGTGAGACCCTGTCTCCTCAACAAATCACTTAATAGGTTATTTTTAGTGTCTTTTTTTTGGGGGGGGGGTCCGGTCATGGGGCCTGAATTCGGCCTGGGCGCTGCCCCTCAGCTCTTCAGCTCAAGGCTGGCGCTCTACCACTTGAGCCACAGCGCCACTTCCGGCTTTTTGCTTATGTGGTGCTGAGGAATCGAACCCAGGGCCTCACGCATGCAAGGCAAGCACTCTACCACTGAGCCACCTTCCCAGCCCCTTTTAGTGGTATTTTTATTTTTTAGTAATAGGCAAAATATTTATGATATGAAGAGAAACCAGGGTATTTACTAATATGTTTGCTAAGAACGATAAGCTGGGTTCAGAGGTGATTCTGGGGATAATTCCCAGTTTTCCTGGTAGGAGAATGAGGAAGCAGATAGAAACCCCTTCTGAAAACAAAAGTATAAGGCTAACCATGCGTGTAAATGCGTGCCTGTAATCCCAACACTTGGGAGGCTGAGGCAGAACAATCTCTAATTTAAGTCCAGCCTGAGACAAACAAGTTCCAACCCAATCTGGGCCAAATTTTGAGACACCCCCTATCCCCCACCCCCAATCTCAAAATTCAAATACACTTGGGCTGGGAAGGTGGTTCAGTGGTAGAGTCCTTGCCTTGCATGCATGAGGCCCTGGGTTCTATTCCTCAGCACCACATAAGCAGAAAAAGCCGGACGTGGCACTTTGCCTTAAGTGGTAGAGCACTAGCCTTGAGCTCAAGAGCTGAGGGGCAGCGCCCAGGCCCAGAGTTCAGGCCCCACAACTGAAAAAAAAAAAAAAAAAAATTCAAACACACTCCACTGCTGGTAGGCAATTCTGTAGGTAACAGCCATAGAGATTTTTCCTGACTGTGCCAGCTTTCTGATGACATATACTAGCTGAGTGTCCCTCAAAGCTCAGCGATTCTTTCTTTCTTGTTTTGCTGGTCGTGGGGCCTGAACTCTGGCCCTCAGTTCTTCAGCTCAAGGCTAGCGCTCTACCACTTAAGGCAAAGTGCCACGTCCGGCCTTTTCTGCTTATGTGGTGCTGAGGAATCGAACCCAGGGCCTCGTGCATGCAAGGCAAGCACTCTACCACTGAGCCACCTTCCCAGCCCAGGCGCATTCCTAGGCCCCTCATCAGTAACTGGGGGTGCCCCCTCCCCGAGCCCGCCAGGCCAAGACCCTCACTTGCTTCAATGGCCGGCGCTAGCAGGGATGAGAGCTTCCCGGCGGAGCCCCGGGCCTGCGCCGGGCTCGGAAGGGGGAGGCCGCGCACCCCACCCCGCCGGCCCGGCCCGAGCCAGTTCTTAGAACCCGGACCGGATGGAGGCCAGGTGTGGCTTCCTTTACCAGGCCCGGCCGCGGGACCCGCCCCAGCCCCCGCCCGCGCCGGGCCCAGAGCCCCTCCGAGCCCGGACTTTCGGCCCGAGGAGGGGGTGGGTGGGGGGGATCGGAGGAGGTGGCCAGCGGGGAGGGGGGGGTCGTGCCCAACTTCGGGCCTGGCGGGGCCGACCCCACTCCCCTCAGGAGGCCGCAGGCCGCGGGGTGGAGGGGACTCTAGGACAGATGTCCGGGCAGGCTGAGGTCTAACGGAGGACAGAGACCCCCGACTTCCGTCCTTCCTCCCGTTCCCACGCCCGGCCGCCGGGCAGCGGCTGCGAGCCGCGATCCGGGCGGGGTGGTGCAAACCGGGGGAGGGAAGTCTCGCGATAGCAGAGTGGCCGGGCGGAGGCGGCGCCTCCTCTCTCCTCCCTCCTCCCTCCTCCTCCTCCTCCACCACCTCCTCCTCCTCCTCCTCTTCCTCTTCGCGTTAGTTCCGGTCGCAGAGGAGACAGCGCCGCACTTGCCGCCACCTCGGGGATTTCTGGCTCTTTTCTCTTCGCCTTAAATTCGGTGAGAAGTGGCGCCCCCGCGGGCCCCCGGCCGAGGTCGCGGCGCACGGCCGCAGGCGGG